TTTAAAACATACCACGCGAGAAACTTACGCAAGTTTTCCACAATTTGCATGAGTGACGTGTGCAAGTTGGGAGAAGATTATCAAGTACGCAGAACAAAAATAAATAAATAAAATGTAATGAATTTTATCCGCTTTAAAAAGACCTAGTTTAAGTGTAAGTTGGTTTAGCCCAACTGCGGTGAAGAAGCTTCGCGCTCGATCCTCTACCGCCAGCTCATTGATTGAGTTGTAGAGGGCAGAAGGCGATCTCATATCAGCCCCATCATCTCTGTTTCAAAACAGGAGCATGTCTGATTGCGACCAGCGGTCCTAGTGGGCTGGAGCAGTCGCAATAGAACAGTACAATCCTGATATCTTGCACCAATGGGAGTCTAAGAGTCGCTTGAAATCTTCCTCAGACTGAGCATTGATGACGTTCTCCGGAAGGCGGTTCCACTCGTTTATCACCCATGTGGATAGGGCGACAGCTGTGTGAACATGGAGCCTCCTTGGTTTAAAGAGTTTCAGGTTGTGATCTCGTGTCGAACCTCCTGTATTGAGCTGGAAAAACTGTTGTAGTTCGTTTTTAAATCCCCCCTTAGTATGTGCCTTGTGAAGTTGAGGTCCCGGCGGCAGCGACGGTAGTCCAGGGATAAAAGATTTATCTGTTGGAGCCGGAGGGGGTAGGGGAGGTTCCGAAATCCAGCGACAAACTCCGGGCCAAGTTTCTGGACCTTTTCAATCAGGGTACATTCCAATTTTGTGAGTGGAAAGACAGCTGGTAAGCCATACTCGATGATTGGGCGTACATGAGAAATAAATGCAGTCCTGAAGATATCCGGTGTCATTCAGGCGAATGGCATTTTTATGGCGCAGCACACCCTGTTAGCAGCGGCCACAGCGTATCCTGGGTGGTCTTTAGGTTAGAGGCAATTATTACTCCTAAGTCTTTCTCTTGCGCAGCATTTTTGAGAAGGAAACCGTCAATATAGTAGGTACCGCATGGCTCAGACGCACCTGTTGCAAGGACGCAGAATTTTTCATAGTTGATGGGTAATCCCCATCTGATGGACCGCTGGTGTAGTGCATCTAGCGAGTCTTGTAGTCTAACAGCGGCATCAAGGTCGGGTACCTCAGACCATAGCTTAAGGTCATCTGTATAGATTAGACATTCATTTTGCAGTAATCCAGGAAGGTCATTAATGAAGAGCTTGAAAAGTTCCGGCCCGAGTACGGAACCTTGCAGAACTCCATTGGTCATGTGTAGTTGCTGCATACGTGTCTTGTTTACCTTCACTTGCATTGTTCTTCCGTCCAGAAAATCCGCGATTCAGGAGTAAAGGTTTCCACTGACACTAATTTCGTGTAGCTTGCAGAGTAGCCGTTGATGTGGAATCCTATCGGATGCTTTGCTAAAATCGACGAAGACAATATCTAATCATTGACCGGCATCGATTGATCTTATCCATTTTTCTCTTGCGACTAATATGCTTGTGGTGCAAGAGCGTTCCTTCTGAAATCCATGTTGTGTAGAGAATGTGTTCAATTCATCACAGTGTTTCTGAAAAGCGCGTTTAATAATCTTTTCCATAGTCTTACAGACTATCGATGTCAAGCACATAGGACGATAGTTCACTGGATCTTGAGGGTTCCCACGTTTGTGCTTTGGCATCACGATACCTGTTTTCCAGTCGACGAGTAGATGAACATTTTTTTAGAGACAAAAGGAAGACTGGGCTGATGGGTTCAGCCACGTATTCAGCCACTGTCTCGAGCAATTGGGGACGTAGACCGTTAGGGAACAGAGGTTTCTACCCTTCTTCTAGTGGGTATAATCCGAGACTAGTTGATAGGACTTGCATCCATCCCACAATTTTCTTCGTTGGTTCATTAGAATCCATAGTTATCAAACAATCTAGGGTGGACCTCTCACAAAACGCCGTCGTTTGGTGTTTGGGACAACCTGTTCAATCAGCAAGTTCATTTTGGAGCGCAAATGGGTCCAAGCACAGTCGAGTTCCAGATCATGCGGCACGCTCCAGGCAAGCTTGCCAGTCACCTCTATAAGGTGGGATGGGTCGGTGCGCCAAAAATTGCGGCGATAGACTCTTTGGTCAGAAGTACCAAGATGTCGCGTCCACGTGAATGCGAAGGTACAGTGATCGCTGTGACCAACTAGCGACGGCGTGGTTAGTTCAGCGATGTCAGAAGTGACTGGTGTGAGTACCAGATCGAGCATACGCTGTGGCTGGCCCGGAAGTCTCCTTGTAGGCGTGGAGACATGTTACAATAAGTTGGTATCGAGGACTGCTCTAAGGCCAGCATCAAATGATGTTGGAGAAAGCCCACAGTGAAGCAGATCCCAGTCAATATCCGGTGCATTGAAGTCACCCAGAATTAGGCAGTCCCTCCCCCTCCCATAGGTCTTGAGTGAATCCGGATAGGGCTCTGTACACTACGCCAACTGTAAGCGGCTTTTATCTGTCGTGAGTTCGACACCAGAGCATTTCCGTACCACCATCGCTAATCGCCTCGATAGTGTGTGCTTTAGGATCTGTTCTCCAGTAAAGGATAACACCACTCCCAGTCGTCCTTCGATGGCGATCAGCTCTAGGAAGCTGGTATCCGAGGATATGGACCTAGTCATCAGGGATATCCGAAGATTGCCAGGTCTCGGTTACGTCTATAAGGTCTGGGCGTAGCTCCGAGGGAGAGGATCTCATCCAGTTTGTTATGCTGCGCATGTTGGCAGACATCATGCGAAGTCCATGTATCGGCTTTGATCCTGCGATCCTCGTAGGACCGGAATCGTCCTCTAACGTACTCTTGGGATCCTTTGCACAACTCAAAAACCTCAATATGAAAGTTGGTCTCGCCGTTTGATCTTCGGGTTCTCAGCACATCAGCCGCCAACTTCATTTTAACACGGTTCTCAGAGCGAAGATTCTCCTCTAAGACTTGAGGACCACCTTAGAATAATGTGGCATTTAGCCTCGTCTTGGCAGATACTTTCAAGTGGAAGAAACTTAACAGAATTCCCCTGCTTTCTGCCGAGACAAAATTGGGAAACTGTTGATTCCCGGTTCTCCGTCGTCATACAATAGGGAGACCATGCGTTGTAAAAATTATTGTTCATCCAGGACAATACCACCCAGCTAACCACGCGATGTGACACAAGCACACCGTTCATCCAGGTATTTGTCCAGCCGCCTGCGAAGTATCTCTTTTGCTTTTCAGCCCCTCGGTTTACTACGACCCACGTACGCCCCGTAACCAGAAGCCATCGGAACCGTCGACCGGATGCATACTGCATATTTGGCGACCTTGCCAGCTCATAACGCCAGTCCTTGAAGCAGGACTGCAGCCGTTAGAACAATTACTAGCACTCCCTCACGCGGAATCGTCCGAACCTAAGCGTTCATTGGTCTGTCTGTGCGTCAACAGGTTAACACCTTTCAGGGCTTCTGTAGGTGCTGAGTACTGCGCCTCATAAGAGGGGGATAATGTAGCGCGTCAGCTTGTCGCAGTAGCAAGTCAACAGGTAAGTTGTCTTTAAGCGTAGCCTATAGTATGATCGTCGTTTCCTCTTCTCTTTGCTTTCCTGTTTCGCCTTCGGTGTTATTAGAGTAGCCACCTATCGTGTTTGTTTTCACGCTATCCATCTAGTCGCCTCGCGCTCGGTTCTCTATCGGCAGCTGTGACAGTACCGCCCAGCTAGCCACGACATGTGACACAGGCACACTGTTCACCCAACTCCGACACTTAGTAGGTAGTTGTCCAGCCTTCTACGAAGTATCTCTTTTACATTTCAGCCCCTTCGGTCTACTGCGACCCACGTACGCCCCGGAACCAGAAGCCCTCGGAACCCTCGACCGGACGCATATTACATTGCTGTAGCAACTCCGAGCATGACCTTGCAGTGGTCCGTGTGGAAAGATCGTTGTATCTCGCGTAGACTACCATTGATTCATCCTCTTTTCTTCACCTTCAAGTTTGGTTTACTGTGCTCTCTTACTAGGTGGTTATCATATGAGCATCCAGCCACCTACCAGGTATTTACTTTCCATTGCGGCTCCCACGGTCTAGTATGACCTACGTACGCACTGGACACGGAAGTCTTCGTAATCCTAGACCAAACGCATGTTGCTCATTTAGCGACCCTGCCAGTTCCGGACAGCAGTCCCTGGAGCTGCATCGTTGCCCTTTAAGGTGATCATTATTTTTCCTGTGACAATACTAGGACATCAGCAGTACGCCGGTACGCAGTACCGACGCTTCGCTGCAGCGCAACTACCGCCGGTCGCACGTGGGCTAGGGTACTGCGAGGGTCGCCCTGCCCCAACACAAGCACGCATCCGCGCCGCAAGGTTACGAGACAAGCTTTTTACCTCTGCTTGTCGCAGAATCTCTTGAACCTAGCACACAGCGCTCATTACTTGTTTCGTACATCAGCAGGTCGTCAACTAGACGCATGTTACATATTCAGCAATCCTGCTTGCTCCCGACAGCAGTCCCTGAAACTGGATCGTTGCCCTCAAGGCTATCATTGACTTTCTGATGACCACATTGTTTATCGCGGAATATCTCGAACCGAGCACACTGCACTCATCACAGCAGGTCGAGACCGACTAGGGCTACTGTAGACGCTGAGGATAGCGCCTGTCAGCAGGGAGGATAATTTAGCAGGTCTGAGCGTGACTTTGCGGTGCTCCCTAAGTAAGAAGATCGCGTATATGGCGATTAATTTTTCCTTTTGTCTTCATCTTCATGTTTGTTTTACTGTGGTCTCTTAATAGGTGATTGTCATAAGAGCATCCAGCCACCTAAGAGGTATTTACTTTCCATTGCAGCTCCCCAGGTCTAGTACGACCTACATACGCATTGGGCACGGAAGCCCTCGGTGTCCACGACCGGACGCACACTACAGTGCATGGCCTTCGTCACTCCACATTATTTTCCGGAAATTTCTCGTCTACCAAATCCGGAGCAATTAATCATTCTCAATAATCTGTTCTACTGCAATGGGAAATATACACACCGTTGGCCCCAGTGAAGCTCTCGTTATATCTGGTGAGTATATCCTAGGGTTTCGCTGCTGCGTCAGCATTGAAATGTGGGTATCGACACTACTTTCCGTGGCGGATTTTCCCTCATTTCTTCGCCAAGACCAGCCTCTTATTTGCACGTTTTGTCCGTGCCTTATCGGACGCATTTTGGAAGAATTTACTGGCTGGTTTTAATGCATGCTGCTGATTGTGCAAAGCAACGTTGTCTTGGTGGGACGTTTTTTCTTGTACCTAACGAATTCCTAAAGGTCCGCGGGTACTGAAAATTAGCAAATGTCTTAAGTACTTATTTGGGACTATGCGAGCCGCATTCACATGTGCAAATACCGGAAGTCGCGTCTTACATTCTTGATGAGTTGGAGGATTCTTAATGATAATTTACTGGTTCATCCCGGCTGTTTGCAAGCCAGATTGGTCTCAACCTAATCCGAAAAAGCGCCAAACCATTGTTTCGCCTTATTAGGGCTCGTCAGGGGTTCGTATTCCCTCGGTCCCCGCTCCGAATTCGGTGCCGTTCGGAATGCGGAAATCATAGAGAGACCAGTCCGACTTCAACTGCCTCCCAACTACTTGCGTCTGTCGTTCTCCACAGATTGACTGGCACTCGTGAAAGCCAGATTTGTCAGCAGCAAGCCGCGTTTCGTCCAGATCGCGGCTGCATCGGACGCATCTTCACTTTGCGTCAATTGTTGGCGCACCATCATGCTTTTTGGCTACCCACCGTTGTCGTCTCTCCACATAAAAGGTCCCTTCGATTCAGAGGATCTATATGCCCTTTGGGACTGTCTGCTGTGCATAGGTGTGCTTGATAAATACGTGGGCATTATCAGAGCGCTTTACGCGCATAATTCGGGCAGAATGGATATTTACTGCAAACTGTCACTGTTCTTCAGTATCTTTAGCGGCGTGAAACAAGATTGCCCGCTTTCACCTTTCATCTTTAACTTCGCCACTGACTAAGTCATGGGGACAGCGTTCACAGGACACGACATACAAGGTGTGGAGCTAATTCCTGGTGAGCGACGTTTTGACTTAGAGCTTGCGAACGACATTGCCCCTATCTGTGACAGCTCTCAAGCGGACCAAGCAGCATTGGATCGATTAGCACAGGCTTTCAATCGTTTTGGACTATGCTTTACTTCATGGAAATGCAAACTCCTCCACTTACTCACTCAACCAATCAATCAGTCAACAACAACAGTACATCAGCCATTTGAACTGATGCTTCGCTGCCATACAATCATGATGATCTATGAAATAAAGAATAAGAGGTAGAGATGGAGGACTTACCTGAAAACCTTAATGCCCTGAGCAAACATTCAGGTCCAAGGTGCTTACATCTTGTGTAGACAACATACCATCACAAACAGCTTGCTATCGTGCAAAGATAAGGCGGCATCGGCGAGACAACTTCCTTGCGGTTTTTACCGCCCCGCGTCATAATCAGCCATTACCCAGCAGATAACTCAACCGCATACACACTTTAAACAGGCAACCCGACTGGTAAACGGCAGCGGACGCGCCACTGGTGTCGGTCGTAAGGCATGTTCTGTAAAGTCTCGAGCCAAGCACAAGGCGAGTCACGTGTACTCCCGTCTGGAAGGCGACGCGCATTAACGGCACCCAGATTGGTCGTCAGTGACCTCATTTCATGTTGCAAACCAAGTTCAGTTGACCTTGAGCCATCATCATCCTCAGTATACACGTTAGCTAGATGTGTAAAACACCTCAGCTACTGTGCCGCAATACATAAAAATGAAAATAAATGCAACAGTCACATGCTAGCTGAGCTACCAGCAACAAATGGGCATCGCTCCGGTAAGCTACTAGCCGGATACTAAGCAAAAAACATTATTATCTAAAATTATATTATGCTACGAACTGAGATCGTGGTTGGAGGGAAGGGAAAAAGAAACAGCAGGAACGTCATTGAGTTCGGCTCCTAGCCATGTCAGCAAGTGTATCCAGCCAAATGTGTTCATCGTCTTTTGGTCCCCAAACAGGGAACCGTGAAGCTCCAACCGTGGCCAGCTTCGAAGTGAAGGCCTTTATTCATCTCGACCAAGTCATTGCTTGGCCAACTCTCCTCTTCTTCCATCCACACCCCCGGCGCGTAAACAACGCACGTCGCGGGAGTCGGTGGGTTGGCATGCGCAACACGTAGTCGAGCCATCGGAGCGGAGTACGTGAACTGACGGTGCTGAGCGGTTCAGTTTCTTTTCCTGTGACGTAAACAAGGCGTCGAACACGCTCGTTGCTCACGCGGTGTTCCCACCAGCTGTGAGCTAAATTGCGAAGGTACCGGTGGTCGAACGTAAGTAGCCTCTTTATGTCCGCTGATCTAAGGGGCCAGCTTTCACAACCGTACAGTAGGGTCGGACGTACCTCTGCGTTGTACACTCCACGCCTCAGGGCGAGAGTAATGTCGCTCCGGCGCCCTAATTGGCGAAGGTTTACAAAAGCGACTCGAGCTTTTGCTAGACGGTTCTTGATCTCATCTTCAATCCCACGGGCGCTGTTACAACTTCCCAGGTATTTGTATTTCTGAACTTCTAGCTGATCCCCAACAAGGGTCAGCGCAGGAGGCGATCCCTGCCAATCATGGAGGAACGCTTTGCACTTCGATGGTGCAAAGCAAAGCCCGAAGCGGCTGACAGCCAGTGCCAATCTGTACAGTGCCGCTTGCCACGTTGGTGAGCTGCCACAGATGAGGGCAATGTCGTCTGCATACTGCAAGTTAGCAAGTCGTTCTCCTGGGAGTAACTCCACACACTCTAAGTCGTGTCCTGTAAATGCAATCTCCATGACTTAGTCGATAGCGAACTTGAAGAGGAAAGGTGACAACGGGCATCCTTGTCTCACACCGCTGGAGATATTGAAGGGCGGTGGCAGCTTTCCGTAAGCTCTCACTCTGCCCTAGCTACGCGCGTTTAATGTTCGGATAATATCTGCATATTTCTCGAACACCTTCCCTAACTAGACATTCCTAAGGGGCACATCTATCCATTGAATTGAATGTACCTTTGATATCGAGGAGCCCGACAACGGTGGGCCGCCAGTATATGCGACGGTGCTTCAACAACTGACGCAAAGTGAAGTTGTGGCCAATGCAGCCACGACCTCGACGAATCTAGCTTTCACGAGTGCCAGTCAACCTGTGAAGGATGACAGAGACAAACAATTTGGAGGAGTTGGAGATCAGACTGATTTTTCTATGTTTGCCTCATTCCAATCGTGAGCCTCCCATGAAAATTTGGACTATGACGGAGCGGCTCCAGTCGGTTGGGACAGTTTCCTGCTCCCACAGTTTCACTAGTTGTATTGAATGTCTGCACAATGGTATGCGGGCGATAGTGCAGCTCTGTGGACAAAAGTCTGATTACTTTGATGTTGTCTCTGGTGTGAAGCAAGCCGGTGTCTTAAACCCTGCTATGTTTACTACTTCTTTGAATGCTATGATGTGCATTTAGTGATTGTGGTTATGATCTTCGTGTGGAGCACCGTATTGATGGTGGGTTCCTGAACATCTGTCGTTTTGGGAAGAGAACCCTAATGCGTGAGACAACCACCCGTTGTTTACACACAGCGCAGATGAGTTGTAGTACATGCTTCCGGTTCTCGTTTCTTTGGCCTCCAAGCTCGGACTCACCATCAGCAAAATCAAGACTGTCATCTGTGATCCCTAGAATAGAATCCGTGAGCCTGCCGCGAATGCAGATTGACATCTGTCGCAAAACTCGGTACTTCAGGGACAAACGGTTTATACGGAAAAGCGGGCTCAACAAAAATGACTGCCTGACGAGCATGTAGGGACATCGATATAAACAACTAAGTCATTTCCATAACTGACGACGCTGCTGCACTCATGAAATTCTTCCTTTGAATCAGTTAAACAAACCTGCTCCAGCGAATCAATCATCGCATAAACAAAACATGCGCTGGCGTCCAATCAACTGCTCTGTTCGCTTGCGGCTCGCTTGCTACCTGCTTGCACAATCCTATCACATCCTTCCCTTTTTAGGGTTCAACTACTTCGGGGTCATCAAAACTCCGTACGCTTATCCACTCCGCGTGGTCTTTGCTGCCTCTGTCATTGTGACCTCTCCGTAAGGCGTCAACTGTCTCGCTGCAGGTTCACCTTTTCGTTCCCGGTGACAAAATTATTGATCTCGAGTGTCCTTCGTCGCCTCACTGCGGAACGGGAATCCCGCATTAGGGAATAGCAAGCCGGTTTCCGCCCAGGATGTTGCTGTATAGACCATATATTCACTTTGCGGCAGATGCTAGAGCAGCGCCACGCATACCGCAGACCGACAATAGCTGTGTTCCTCGATTTCAAGAGTGCGTTCGATTCAGTCGATCGATCGATCCTGTTCGAAATACTTGCGCGGAAAGGTGTTCCCACGAAATATGTGAACATCCTACGCGCTCTATACTAGAACACTACAGGCCGCATCAGGGTCTACGGTGACCTGTCGGATAGCTCTCCGAACACAAGTGGCGTTTGTCAGGGTTGGCCGATTTCCCCATTTTTGTTCAATTTCGTCGTGGATTCTATCATGGAGTGTTCCCTTGTGGAATCTCACCATGTAGGTGTTGAAGTGCTGTCTAGTGAAAGGTTAGTTGATCTTGAGTATGCGGACGATATCGTTTTGCTTTTCGACGATGTTGCGACGGCACAATCAACTCTGAATAGCCTGTTTAGAGTGGTCCCTTTATTCGGTATGCGCTTTACGCCTTCAAAGTGCAAAGTGTTGCTGCAGGACCACCAGCCGGTTTGTTCAACTTCTGTTTAAGTGGAACAAAGCCACGGGACCAGATGATCTTCATCCAACCCTCTTCAAATTCGGGGACCCTGCTCTTGTTGATATTTTACACGAATTACTAGTGAAACTGGGAGCAGGAAACTGTCCCTACCGACTGGAGCCGCTCCGCTATTGTTCCTATCTTCAAAGGAGGCTCGCATTTGGCATACGGCAACCATAGAGGAATCTGTCTGATCCC